CCAAGTCACTGCTTATCTTTAATGTAGGTCTACCGCAACTAAACTTGTTTAATCATAATACAGCCAATCCTTTGTGTTATGTGCTTGCGTGAGCCCATGACCCCGTCACTTTGTTTTAAGTGGACTGTATGTAAATTGGGAGCATTGTGAAATTAGGTACATAATGAGGACGTAGGCTAACTTTTTCATCATTTTTCCTCGTAGAGCGTGGGCTTTAGTTTCTGTGGGCGGTCGCCCTTCTTACCACTCAACAATACTTGCAGTCCCTCTGCGTCATCACGATGGAAAATGTTATAAAAATTATGTTGCCCGCTTTTAAGCACGCGAGATAACTTATTTGCAGCTTAATTTGTGTATTTTATACAGCAATTTCTACGCAGTTATATTTTTACTTCTTTTGACAGTAAATTTGATGTCACAAATTAAATATTATTTATATAGCGATTTCAAATAAAAACTTGTAGATACACATATGTTATAAGTTTTTTATAATATTTCTAACTGGAGAATAGTAAATTTTTTCTGATATCTCTATAATACTATTTTAACATTTAAATTTGCATGATGTTTTGTATCATGTAACCAAAAAGTTTTATTCATTTATTTTTAACTAAAATGGTGGAACGGGTTGTCTGCTCACTTGCTGTTAAGTTCCTACCGGAAACTATAGAGTTCACTTTTTTTTCCTACCTCTTCACTGGTAGCTTAAGGGGCTATTCCAACTACGCGCGGACGAGTAGGTGAGCTCACGGGCTAAACCTGAGAGAATTTGCTAACACTAGCCCTAGCAAGAGCAGCGCTTCGCAGCTACCACTTCCACCGGATCGGAAACGCGACCCACTCAAAAGATCCGGCGAGAAAATCAGTGGGTTTCTGTGTCAAAAGAAACAAACGTACGTAGATTGTTATCTTGTAAATAATAGGGTTAACCCATTGACACCTCAGTAGTCGGCGAACGACGGAAACTAGAAAGACGATTTCGAAACGTCCAAAATAATGATGCAGAGCAAGAACAAGAGCAGACTTGACCATTGGATCCGAATCGCGGCCCAATGAGAAGATCAGGCGAGAAACTCAGTTGGCTAGGTCACAGCGTGAACGCCGCAACCCTCTAGAAACAGTAGATCAAATTTTCAATGTTTATGCAAAATACCTGCCCTATTCTTTAAAACTAAACGTATGACAGCTTCACGGCAAAAATGAAGTGAAAAGTTTAAACCTAATCTTTGGGCCAAACTGTATAGAATTAGAACGAAACTATCTTACATTAACCTTCAATATATTTTGTTATGTACAACACATGTATATGGCATGAAAAGAAAATTGTCAACGAATTTCATATTGCTTTTATGTGCTGCTCGAGATCGTAATAATAACAAAATATTGGAACGAAAAGAACGCTACGTCTATTAGCAGATACGTAGACAAGCTTTATTAAACACTTTGGGAGCTTAAGTTACACATTTGTTTGTGTTAGTAACTTTTTCGGGTGCAAAGGCTCAAATCTATTTTCATTTGTTGTATTAAGCCTGTTTGGGTCATTTTTTAAATGATTTTACGGTGCCTTACAAAGAGATTTTGTAGATTACTTAGACACAAAACCGTATCCGACATTAATTTTGTAATATTATTCGAGAACTAAGAGAATCGAATCATTAACACTTGAGCGACCGACCGAATACGTCACATATTATTACACGTAATTATGTTCCAAGCGTGCCTTCATTAAATTATATCACCTGACTTCCAACAATTCGAAGTTTAGTTCAATGAGCAAAGGGTGTGCGTGACACTAGTTAAATAATTTTACATAACTAAATATATCTATTTCAATGCCAAATAAATAAAACTCCGATAGACAAAAAAAATTAAAGATATGCCTTCAATTCGAGATTTTTGCATTAAAGATTTTCAGCAAGAGAAAAATCGCTTTCCTTAACATATTTGAGAGAGAAGCATGTTTTTCTGACATAATCATCTATAGGCTACAGAATAAACATCCGAAAATGACTAAACGCGACAATAACTACAACATGATTATACATAACATAACAAAGGAACAAATAAACTACTTGGAAGATAATTCGCAAATGTAACACAGATATTGTCCATTATTGAAATGCTCCAGGAAAATATCGTACTTATATGTCCTTGTACCTTTAGGGAAAACATGTAGATTCTCACTTTGCTCAAGTGGAGGAAAATTTTTTAGAAGCAATATACTCTTGTGAGCTCGAGATTGCGTAATCTCGGAAGGGCCGGTTCATTTCTTTTACCATTCTGCCTCTTTGTAAATTGCGATAAAACTATGATTTTTTTTATGCTTTTTGAACAACACAAAAACTAAGTCTGAGAATTACAAAATATCATTCAAGATCGAAGAAAAAAATTTCAAACACGATATTTTATTAAAATGATTGATACAATTGGAGATGGACAAATCTCCAAGCCTCATTATACAATGTATCAAACATTTCGATCGAAGCTTCAAAATAGGTTTTTGGGATTGAAAATTATACACACTCGTGCTTATCACTAAAGCTAGTCTTTGTGGGCTGAACGCAGACCCCTTACATCATTTTGGGTCTGTTCCATACATTACGTGCGTATCTTATAAGAAGAGATGACAAAAGAGGCATCAATATATCCAAGCTGGCATAAGAATTTGATCCATTTAAGAATTTGGGTATTTGCGATAAAACCCTCGTGTGATGGACCTCATTGTGCGTCCGCCAGTCTTGTCTGATTATTTACATCGTAGATCTGGCCCAACTTGAATAGCTTCATATGAACCGAATAAACGAAAAGGACTTATGTGTTTGGGTTAAATGAAAGCTTTCATGTTCCAGTTTCGGGAAAATTGATATTATTGTGTAATTTATGTTTCATCAAAATAATATTACGTCTTTTCTATTTTTATTTTTTATTGTACTCATAAGTGTATGAATTCACGATCTACCTGGTGTTAAATGGTTATCGGAGCTCATAAACAATATCAACGTGAATACTGCCACCTATTATATCCCGCTTTCAGTATGGAGGCCAATGTCTCAATTATATAGCAATTACGTCAATTATAATTTATGCGGGTATTTGATTTTTAATACACGATGTTAATCCTTCGTCGTGAAAGTCATTCGTGAAGAAGAGTTAAGGCACCAGTATTTGAACATTGGCATATTCAAATAGCTTAAAACAAATACACCAGGTATCCTTTGAGCCACAACGACTTCGAAAAATCCTATGATAAAGTTACAATTTTAATACTGTAAGTGTAAGAGCACACCCTGCTCTTCTGTTTCTAAAAAAAGCTCCTAAATAAGGTACTATAGATTGTATTTTGCCAAATAAAAATTCATACGACATTCGACCTGTCTTAATGCTCCGTGCATAATTTAATGAATGATACATTTAACATACGTACAGCAACATCGAGTATTTAAAACTAATTTAATATTGGGATACTACACTGTGACTGTTATTTTAACAAATGATTGAATGACTGACGATACCTTCCAACTAAATTCCATAAGCGAAAAAGGAACGGACGGATAACCAGCATAAAAATTTAATGGTATATTTACGGGCTCCAAATTATAATGATTCAGTGTTTTCTTTATGTGATCAAAAAGTAGAATATAAATAAACGAAAGAAAATTGAAACTTGATTTGAGAAAAACAGGTTCCAAATTGATAGTTTTTTTATTGTTACAGTATTAATAGAAAGACTATGTCTAATTTTTAAACATTTCATTCCAATAACTGACTTTAGTATAAAAGTTGCTTTTAGTTAGTATTAAAATGATTCAAGTATTTTTTTTCGTCTCATGCAATATACTAAATATTTTAGAATAATAAGTTACATGTAAACCCTTTCGGTTAAGTCTCGTAAAATGATTAATCGGCAGTCATTAAATCTTTCGTTAATTGCCTGCTCCTCTTTCGTAACTTTCTAGTAAGCAAATCCTAAATTTACCTCTAAATTTAATTTGAACGAGATTTGCCAGCGTTAAGCCACTTGTATAAATTATATGTCGGTATTTCAGTTATCGCAAGTAATAATCATGTTAATATGGAAAAATTCGTTGCAGCTAAGAAAGAGACCGTATACACACAGTATACGATGCAGTGTTACGCGCTGAGATTCGGGATAAACAAAACTTTCACCGAAATACAAATTAAAACTCTGTTTAACGTTTAGAACACTTAAGAAGCAGTTTGCAATTCGTAAATCACTTCTTTCGCTTCGCTTCAAGAGATCTGTTCGCTATTTCGAGTAGAACCTGCCTTCATTTTTTTTTTTCCTAGCTATGCTGATAGCCTTGAGGGCTATATGAGTCCCATATTCTATTATANCGGGATAAACAAAACTTTCACCGAAATACAAATTAAAACTCTGTTTAACGTTTAGAACACTTAAGAAGCAGTTTGCAATTCGTAAATCACTTCTTTCGCTTCGCTTCAAGAGATCTGTTCGCTATTTCGAGTAGAACCTGCCTTCATTTTTTTTTTTCCTAGCTATGCTGATAGCCTTGAGGGCTATATGAGTCCCATATTCTATTATATAACCCCACTGAGTTTCTCGGCAGATCTTTTTTTTTTTTTTATTGCTTATATGGGTGGACGAGCTCACAGCCCACCTGGTGTTAAGTGGTTACTGGAGCCCATAGACATCCACAATGTAAATGCGCCACCCACCTTGAGATACAAGTTCTAAGATCTCAATATAGTTACAACGATCCGAGTGGGTCGCGATTTCGAACCAGTAGTAGATTTAACAAAGCACTGGTCGTATTAGGGTTACTTCTTTACTTGAGTAACGTCTTTCCATTAACACTTAACACCAGTTCCATGAACTAACCTTAAGCAAAAAATGTCTTTTCATTGTACTGAAATTTAAATGAAAGGTTTAGTTGTTAGTACTATAATTACAATAAGATCTTCAGTGAGTCCGTCGTACACAAATACAATCTGTTTTAATACAATCTCGGTCAGCTTACCAGTAAGCTTACGTATCCGTGGATACTGTTGTACACCGTAATGACATCTCTAAAGTCCCCCTCGCAATAACCGCACGTGTCTGGCTTCAACGTCAGATTCAGTTTGCTTTTGGCATCTTTCATCATCTTCACGAGGAGGGATTCGAACTCCTCCCCCGCCCCTCCTCTGTTGGTCTGCTCACGTAGCATTGACAAGATTTGAGTCTCATTGTAACTGTCCGACGAGTTCCCGGACGCTGCAAATATCTCTTGGAATATATCCAAAAGGCTTTGCGGTTTGTTAGACATTTTTATCCAGCATATATTCTTTGTTCAGTGAGATTTACATCACCCAGTTCGATAAGCGATAGAAACCTGCAACAAAAGTACTTGATGTTAATTTAACATGCTCGTATACAATTACAATTAACCTACAATTTTGAAATCATCGTGTTCTAAATTTCACAGGGAAGTACTGATTTTTCTTAGAAAATGTGTTTGTATTTTGCACGTGCTCATGAACAACATCTACGATGAAAGAATAATTGCGTGAAATAAAACACAAAACAAAGCTTAAAAAATTGCGATTTCTTCGTCATTGAGCGTATCGCGGGAACGGTGGCTATCGCCGTAATGTTTGTTTTTACCGTAAAACAAATATTTGTTACGGTTTGAAGATTTAGAATATTTCTTATAAGACAAAAAGTTTGACTGCGACCTCAAACGATAGACAGTGGCATCCAAGTTGTAATTTCCTATGACCTTCGGCAACAGGCCCGCATTGATGTTGTTCATTCAACAAGTGCAGTAAAACCGGATAGGAACGAAGTTCCTTATTATAAAAATATTCATTTTAAGTTCTATTCGAGGTATAAAGAAAAGAAAACTGAAGGTTTCGCAACAACCCACGGTCCTTCGGTAACGTGAAAACTTATTGTGGTACACTTCATTCACGGTTGCTTGCATAAGAGTTAGTGTATTGCGCAAACGAACGCTCTGAGATCGTGGTCAATGAATGATAAAAAAATATGTTATGTTTTGTACTTTATTATAAAGTTAAGTCGTACACTGTGTGCATTACTAATAAAAATCTTACGTTACGGACGTTTTTTCCCGGTTAGGGTACCCCTCCACATCTTCCCATAAGGAACTTCGTTCCAAAAATAAACTATTCACTTGCATGTTTTTTTTTTCAAGATTTAATAAAAGTAGTACTGTTTTAGTCATGAAACATATCATTTCACATTCATACTACGATCTCAATTTTTTCACACAGAGAGATGCTTAATAGAAAAACAAGAACCAATTTAATATTAATTCCATGATTGCGTTCCGCTGGTAATACTCCAGAGCTCTATGTGAAATCTAAAAGCTTCTGTTGAAATTTAATTTAAGAGCCTTAAATCTTATCATTCGCGTTAGTGTCATTGATCGCCGATCGAACGAAAACGTTTCACGGTACGTTTTTCTTTAAAATACCAAAATACGATTATAATCGGTGAGCTTATAGCAGGAAAGTAATCTCGAAGTTTACTCGCGTCAAGTATTTTCATCTCAGTATTTTCAATCAGAGTATTAAGGTTTATCGTAGAGGAATTAAAAAAATATATTGTTATACTTAGATTTACTTAAATACTAACGTAGTTCTTAAGATATTTGTAATACTGGTGGTAGGACCTCTTGTGAGTCCGCGCGGGTAGGTACCACCGCCTTACCTATTTCTGCCGTGAAGCAATAATGTGTTTCGGTCTGAAGGGTAGGGTAGCCGTTGTAACTATACTGAGATCTTAGAACTTATATCTCAAGGTGGGTGGCACATTTACGTTGTAGATGTCTATGGGCTCCAGTAACCACTTAACACCAGGTGGGCTGTGAGCTCGTCCACCCATACAGGCAATAAAAAAATTAAAAAAAACTACAAACTGTGAGACTATGACATCTCGAAATAAAAGATTTTTATTTTATTTTTATTTCTTAATTTTATTTTATTTTTAAAAAAGCATGCTGAAAACCAATATGAATTTTCCGCCACCAATCAAATGTAATTAGATGTACGAAAACTTAGTGACTAAAATGTTTAAAAGTAAATAAAAGAATGACAGATACGTAATACGGCACTCAAGTTATTAATTAAGTTCTTGGTNGACATCTCGAAATAAAAGATTTTTATTTTATTTTTATTTCTTAATTTTATTTTATTTTTAAAAAAGCATGCTGAAAACCAATATGAATTTTCCGCCACCAATCAAATGTAATTAGATGTACGAAAACTTAGTGACTAAAATGTTTAAAAGTAAATAAAAGAATGACAGATACGTAATACGGCACTCAAGTTATTAATTAAGTTCTTGGTTCCTAGCAAAAAATACTATTCTTTTCTATCGACATCTTTTCGCCATCAAAGCATAAATGTATTTTCTAAAGAGTTTTCCAACACTTCATGATCTAACTATGTACTAAAAATCCTCAGAAGGTAAAATTTTATTGCAAATATATTTTATGGCAAAATATAGCACCGCGATAAATGTTTATACGTTCGAGAAAATCAATCCAAACCAAATCAATATTGTTTCAATAAAAAAAGAAAGAAAAAAAAACGATAATTGTTTGAAAGTAGGCTATGATTTGAATGCTACATTAAACCCTTTCAAAATCATTCAGGGACTACTAAATTGAATAGGCGGGCCACCTACTTTCCTTGGCTACCGTTTTTGCGGACGTTTCTTGTGTACACGACCGTTATAAATGGATTTCGAAGACTTTCCTGCTCATGATTTGACTTATTAAAAACAAAATGCTAAAATGATAAAAGACTTTTCCTTCAATCTTTTAAGTTGGTATTGAATAATTGTTTTTTTTTAATATTTAATAAGGATTGACACTGTGGTTCAACATAGTGCTATATTACTTTAGTTATTTAATTTACATTGGAAAAGTAGTGCAGAGACGAGAGTTAGATCACCCCTTGTCTAGGGATTCCTAAACAATAATGAACATTGTCACCATGATTAATCATTTTTGAAGTTAAAATTTCTTTAACGTAGTTATAATTTGAAATGGATGAAACAACACTAAAAGAGACGAACATCTACAGTTTTTAACCTGCGAGAGAATAAAATAAATTAGTTATATTTTCTATAACCAAATTAGTACATTTCTAGCACATGTAGGTAATTTTCAATAATATTTTTTTTTTTGTTATTGCTTTAGATGGGCAGACAATTTTCAGGCCCGCCTAATAAACAGTGGTTGGTAGACTCCATGGATATCATAACATGAAATCTGCCATCAATCTTGAAACACTAACTCGAAGTCTAGACTATTTTGTTTAACGGCTATTCCGCCCTTCAAACGAAAATGCTTGTCTGATTCGCGGCAGAAATAATTCGAGCTCATTACGGACACACACACACAATAGTCCTACAACGAACCCAAAATTCACAAATCATGAACGTAATTTTTTTTTTTTTATTGCTTAGATGGGTGGACGAGCTCACAGCCCACCTGGTATTAAGTGGTTACTGGAGCCCATAGACATCTACAACGTAAATGCGCCACCCACCTTGAGATATAAGTTCCAAGGTCTCAGTATAGTTACAACGGCTACCTCACCCTACAAACCGAAACGCATTACTGCTTCACGGCAGAAATAGGCCGGGTGATGATACTTACCCGTGCGGACTCACAAGAGGTCCTATTACCAGTAAAAAATGGAACTGAGATGACAGTTGCAGAGAGGTTTTCATGTGCACCTGTGAGACAATACCTAAGCAGTTAGTCTCACGCGATTAAGCCTGATAACGTTCAGGTAGAGAGCGGTGTCTTTGCGGATTCAGTGCCAATAACAGGAAATGGTAACGACTTGGATACTTGCCATGACCACGTAATCTTTTGTACAGAAACATCTGCAGGCCGCACTACAAGATATTGCCGATTATTTTTCGATTCTACTCAATGGCGTATATTAATTTTTAGACTAAAAGTAAGGTTTCTCTATTATGTGAATGTAAGTATATTGGAATATAAATCATATGGTGGTTTTATATTGTGTTTAACGGTCTATATAATATAATATAATATATAGTATATATATATGTATGTATTATTTTCTTTAGTAATGTATTGTTAATAGTACACCGCAACATACCTGCTGTATCATTATCTGTCCAGAATTTCGAGCAATTAAACGGTTGTCTGGAAGAGATCGCTTTTAGCGATAAGACCACCTATTGTACAAACGTATCTGCTTGTTGACTGTTTTCTGTTTTTTTCTGATGTTATGTTTCTCGTGATTTTAAAGACTGTTCGTGAAGTCATCAGATGTGGGAAAAGTACTACTTCTCGACGGTGCTTAAGCTATTTCTAGTTCGTTTTAGGATGTTACCATTGGAATTCGACCATTCGTCCAAACAACAGAAACTTATAAAAAAAATTCATAATTAAAAATTAACTTATAAAACTTATAACGTTGTATACAAATTCAGCACTTTGTCTTGTTTTGTCGTGCGCACATAACTTATGCTGCAAGCCAGATTTTGTTTCTTTTTACTTGCGTTTTTATGTATCTTTTTAGCTTGTGGTGTGTATTGTGAGCCTAATAAATAAATATCCAACAAGGCACATAACAGGCAAGGTATTAGTTTAAACATAATTTTATGCAGTATTTTATCGATTAAATATATAAAGTTCGGAAGCAAAACAGTAATCCTAATCCGGTTTTATATATCGACGCTTGAAAGGCAAACATGACTAAGCGACAATGCGTGAACTTTACAGTAGACTAATTTAAAGTTGAAATACCTGAAAACAAAATTTATTTTAACGAATCTAGCTGTAGTAGAATCTAGATAGTAGCTATAAGATTTTAATAGACCTAGAAATATATATTTTTTGCGCATTGAATATGGTTATTGCCTATCATTTATGTACAAAGCAGTTATTGTCGCTTAGTCATTTTTGCCTTTCAAGCGTCGATATGAACATACATAATATATATTGCGGCTGTCATCCCATAGGAACATATTTACAGTTGAATCTCGTGTTAATTTCACACAATTAACAATTTTGTCATTTCGAATGAAGGTGTAATAATCCTAAATTTCTAGTGTCATACTTAATGTCTTATTGTATTTAGAATAAATTAATTAAGAGAACAGATTACTGTTTATGTTTTCATGTAGGTACTCTTAAACCTTGATAAGGTATCTTGGTTTTTGTTACTTTCTAAGATCTGAGTTTGAATAATAACAGAAGACTACTGGTTTTAAGGCTTTCTATGGCTCGAACAAGCGACGGTGTGATTAGCAATC